TCAAGGACCCAAAAAGACTTGGGTACCTAAATCTTATTAAATCATTTTTGTAGGTGTGCTTGAAGGCGTCAAGTGTACTTTGGTACCTTGATAGCGGATGCTCCAAGCACATGACTGGAGATGCATCCAAGTTCCTACAAATCAAACCCGCTAAAGGAGGAAACGTAGTCTTTGGAGATAATAGCAAGGGAAAAATTATCGGCGTCGGTTCAGTAGGTAAGTCCGAAGACCCCTCTATAGATAATGTCTTGCTTGTTAAAGGTCTTAAACACAATCTCTTGAGCATAAGTCAATTATGTGACAAGGGAAACCGTGTGACCTTCGATTCAAAATCATGCACGGTAGAACGCCTTAGTGACAATAAGGTCATTCTACGTGGTGATAGAATCAATAACATATATATGGTTAACTTAGACAAATCTCCTTCCGGCTTTGGTAAGTGCCTCATGAGTAAAGAGGAAGACACTTGGTTATGGCACCGAAGGGTAGCTCATATGAACATGAACCTTTTGAACAAATTGGTTTCACAAGACTTAGTAATTGGTATTCCAAAACTTAAGTTTGAAAAAGACACCATATGTGATGCATGTCAAAAGGGGAAGCAAGTTTGGGCTTTGTTTAAGTCTAAGAACGTTGTTTCAATGTCTAGACCGCTTCAACTTTTGCACATGGATCTCTTTGGTCCTTCTAGAACGAAACGTTTTGGTGGTAATTACTTTGCGTTTGTGATTGCCGATGACTACTCTAGGTTTACATGGACCTTGTTTTTAACTCACAGAAGTGAGGCATTTCACGTTTTCAAAAATTTTCTAAAGAAAGTTCAAAATGAAAAAGAAACAACCATAGTAGCCATAAGATGCGATCATGGGGGAGAGTTCGAACGAAATCTATTCTCAGATTTATGTGACGAACTCGGCATTGATCATAATTTCTCAGCCCCACGTACACCACAACAAAATGGAGTGGTGGAACGTAAAAATAGATGTCTCGAAGAGATGGCTAGAACTATGATCAATGAGGCAAAAATCCCTAAGTATTTTTGGGCGGATACCGTGAGTACCGCGAGCTACGTGTTAAACCGAGCCGTCATTCGACCGATATTCATGAAAACGACTTATGAACTATACAAAGGGAGAAAGCCAAACCTTTCCCATCTTCGAGTCTTCGGCTGCAAATGTTTTATTCATAACAATGGCAAAGACAACTTAGGCAAATTTGATGCCAAGTCGGATGAAGGAATTTTTCTGGGTTATTCACTTCGTAGCAAGGCCTATAGAGTCTTTAATAAACGAACCTTGACCATTGAGGAGTCCCCTCACGTTGTATTTTCCGAAGATAATCCTTGCTTGGCGAGAAAGGATATTTGTGATGATCTTGCAGATTCATTAGAGAGAATACACGTCGAAGACGATGAAGAGAACATGGGAATATACACCAACACGCAGCCGCAAATTGGGGAGATACCTCAAGCGACTAACCAAGGTGAAGAAGAAATGAGGAAGAAGAAGAACAAGAGGAACACGAAGAAGAAGCAGCCGAGCTTCCCATTGCATGGAGAACGAACAAGAACCATCCGCTTGACCAGGTAATCGGTAGCATCAACAGCGGGGTAAGTACTCGTAACTCACTTAGGGATACCGTAGGACACATGGCTTTTGTTTCTCAAATTGAACCTACAACCATTTCCGAAGCAATAAACGATGAACATTGGACCTTGGCCATAGAAGAGGAGCTAAACCAATTCAAACGGAATGACGTTTGGGAATTGGTGCCAAGGCCCGATGATCGTGCGGTTATTGGTACGAAATGGGTGTTCCGTAACAAACTTGATGAAAATGGAATAATCACTAGAAACAAAGCTAGGCTCGTAGCTAAAGGCTACAATCAAGAAGAAGGCATTGATTTCGAAGAAACTTATGCACCCGTAGCACGTTTAGAAGCTATTCGTTTACTTCTTGCTTTTGCTTCGTCTATGGATTTTAAACTTTATCAAATGGATGTTAAGAGTGCCCTCCTCAATGGTTTTATTCAAGAGGAAGTGTACGTCGACCAGCCCCCAGGGTTTGAAGACTTTGAGTACCCCGACCACGTCTTCAAACTCAAGAAAGCGCTCTAGGTCTTAAACAAGCACCCCGTGCTTGGTACGAACGCTTGAGTAGATTTCTTTTGGACAGTGGGTTCCATAGGGGAAAGGTTGACACTACACTTTTTATCAAAAGTAAAAACAATAACATCCTTTTGGTTCAAGTCTTTGTAGACGATATCATATTCGATGCTACTAATGAGTCTTTGTGCAAGGAATTCTCAAAGTTAATGACAAGCGAGTTCGAAATGTCAATGATGGGCGAGCTCACGTTCTTTTTGGGACTCCAAGTCAAGCAAATGAAAGATGGCACTTTCATTTTCCAAACTAAATATTGCAAGGAGCTCCTAAAATGGTTTGAAATGGACAACGCCAAAGCCATGGCGACCCCGATGAGCACGTCCGACCATCTAGACAAAGACGAGAAAGGTAAGGAAGTAGAAGTCAAAAAGTATCGAGGTATAATCGGATCCCTTCTCTATCTTACCGCTAGTAGGCCGGATATCATGTTTAGTGTATGCCTTTGCGCAAGGTATCAATCATGTCCGAAGGAATCGCACTTAACAGCGGTGAAACGGATCATGAAATACCTTGTTGGCACGGTTTACGTTGGACTGTGGTATCCAAAAGGCTCTTCGTGTCATCTCGTTGGTTATTCCGACTCGGACTTTGCCGGTTGCAAATTGGATCGTAAAAGTACGAGTGGGACTTGCCACTTAATTACTTGGTAGCTCTTTAGTTTCATGGTTTAGTAAGAAACAAGTCCGTGTTGCGTTATCCACAACCGAAGCGCAATACGTTGCCACCGGTAGTTGTTGTGCTCAAATCCTTTGGATGAAGCAACAACTCGTGGATTATGGCGTTAGTATCAGTCACGTTCCACTTCGTTGTGATAATACTAGCGCCATAAGCTTGACTAAGAACCCCGTTCTTCGTTCCAGGACGAAACACATTGACATTAGGCATCATTTCATTAGAGATCATGTTCTCAAAGGTGATGTCGAAATTGAGTTTGTTGAAACACACAACCCATTAGCCGACATTTTTACAAAACCTTTAGAGAAAGAGTCGTTCTTCCGCATTCGTAGTGAACTCGGAATCCTTGACTCCACGATGATCTAATTTGTGCATTTTATTACTCTTTTATCTTTGCTTGAACGTCTACTAACTTAAGCGTCGGAGGGTTTTCTAACTCTTTTTTGCAGGGACGGTTCGAGGTGAAGGAATCCGGAAGTCAGGGGGAACCAGCGATGGGTGGGTTATACCATCGCTGGGAGGGAAGTCTTCATTTTTTACAGAACCCCTCTTCCCATCGATGGGTACTTTGTAACGCCCCGAAACCTGGCCCAAAAGAATTAATTAAATTGTTAGAGCAATTGATTACGAATTGGGCCCAATAAGGGGTTAAAATTATAATTTGGATTTTAAGACCAACTTTTATGTCATCTCGTAGGAAATATTTTTGTGATCGCGTCGGTTCAGACGGCTCGCGAATCGGAGTTATGGAACTCAAGTTATGACCATTTAATCAGGTATTTTGGGTTCGAAGCCCAATCCTTTTCGGAATGGGACCATTAAATAAACCTAAACCACACAAACCTTATCTTATTTCTCCTTCTTCGATTCTTCTTCTTCGTCCTTCTTCTTCTTCCTTCTTCTTCTTTTTCTTTCTTCTTCTTCTTCTTTCTTCTCCTTCTTCTTCTTTCTTCTTCGCCGCCCAGCCGGTCGCCGCCGTACAATTAGAGCAGCCGCCGGCGTCGCCGCTCATCGCCGCCGCCAGTCGCTGCCCAGCCTCGCCCTTCCCCAGCCACGCCGCACCAGCCAACAGCGACCTTACCGTCGCCGGAAGCCAGCGCCGCCGCTGCTTCCTTCGCCTCCAGCCGCCGCTGTGAGCCAGCACCGGACGCCGCTGTTTCGCCCTCGCAGGAAACGAGCGCCGCCGAGTTGCAGCGTCGCCCGAGCCTCCAGCCACCGACGCCCGAACCTCCAGCCGCCGTCGTCGGAAGCCAGTCGCTGCCCATCCTTCGCCGGAAGTCCGTCGCCTCCACTGCCGACGTCCTTCCCCGCCGTCGAGTGCAGCGCTGCCAGTCGCTGCTCACCGCCGTCGAGCTGCCGCTCCGCCACTGTCTCCGGCGTCCGTCACCGTCGCCGCATCCGGCCGCTGCCCCGAGTTGATATCGCCGGCAGATTAACCTCCACGCCGGATTGATTGGTCGATTTCGTACTTTGACTCGATTTGACCCGTTCGGTTGATTTCGTTGATTTGTCTTCCGTTCGAGCTATCGATTCGATTTCGACGTAATCCAGGTCCGTACTATGAAGTTAATAGCATTCAGAATAGATTTAATGGTTTGGATCGTTATATGTGTTTATGCTATAATTTGGCTAAATTGGTTAATTGAATTAAATTGATTGTTTGAATTGAATTGTTGAGGATTGTGAATTGACTGAACAGGTTTGACTTTGACTTGGGTTAGGTCATGTTTGAC